AAATTCAAAACTGTATATAGTAGCTACTGCTTGTGGGAAAAAGAGAGAAAATTACACTCACACAATATTCTATACAAAATAAACTGGTGAACTTAATGTCCTCCAGGAAGGGTGGTTGCAGCTGGCAGGCTTTTGGACAGTAGTGAGGGGGAGACTTTCACTGTGGATTCATTTTTGAACCTTCAAAATTTGAGACTGGGTGCGGTGGCTCACTCCTGTAATCCCACTGCTTTGGGAGGCCAAGGGGGGGAGAATCACTTGAGGCCAGTTAAAGACCAGTCTGGGCAACATAGTGAGACTCTATCTCTACAAAAACAATTTTTAAAAATTTAGTCAGGCATAAGGGCACATATCTATAGCCCCAGCTACTCAGGAGTAGGAGTAGCTACTCAGGAGCAGGATTTCTGGGATCACAAGCCCAGAAATCCAAGGCTGCAGGACCTACAATTACACTACTGCACTCCAGGCTAGGTGACAGAGCAAGACCCTGTCTTCAAACAAACAAACAAAAAAGAATTTGAACGTCATTAATGTATTGCTGTATTACATTTTCAGAAAACCTTTACAAAAATACAAAAACACTGCAACTCTGAAACAAGTACAGGATGCCATGAAAGGGACAAATGGAGAACAAAGAGATGTTTGCAAATGTAAAAATAGGGCAGCAGAAGTGGCAATGTTGCCAGAACAAGAATGATTGAAAGATAAAGTTGAGGAAATTTCCACAAGGCAGAATAAAAGATAAAAGAAAGAAAGATAAGGAAAAGTAAAGAAAATTAAAGAAACAGCCCAGGAGTGCCAATATCCAACATGCAGGAATTCCAGAGGCAGGGTCAAAGAAAACAGGAAAGGAAATTATTAAAGAAATTACAGAAGAAAAAATTTTTAGTGCTTAAGGCACAAATTTCCAGATTGAAGGTGCCTACAAGTTCCTAGTAAAACAGATTAATAATGATTGCTACAAGGTACATCATCATGAAATTTCAGTATAGTAGAGAAGATCAAGAGCTCCCAGGAAGGGGAAAGGGAAAAAAGAAATAAATATGAATTAAAATCTTGTAGGCTTGTCAGTAGCAACACTGGAAGCTAGAAAGCAATGGGGAGGGCAGTGGTTAAAAATTATTTCCCACCTAGAATTCTGTGCCATGTCTTCTTACAGAGAAAGGCATTTTTCAGACATGCAAATTTTCAAAAATTTAACTCCTGCCCACCCTTTGTAAGGATATCATTAGAGGAAGAATAAACCAAGACTGAGAATGAAGAAGTAGGATGCCCTGCATCAGAAACAGGCAAAGGAAGACGCAGGCTGTGCCTTGCTGAGGGAATATCTGTCGAGACCAGAGCTGAGGACGGGACTCCAGGAGGGAGGGTAGATGTAAAGAAGGAAGCTTTACCTTATAATATAAAAAATGTTATTATAATTCACCGTAGCTCAACTGGTGAGCCATACTTACATGATCAATAATATAAACACTAAATTTAAATTCTACCAAAATTAGGGGAGTGTAAAGAAGGGATAGTTTTGAGAGAGTGGTGGTAACAGAAGTTTGGGAGACATTCTTAAAGTGGAAAACGCACTAGAGGTGTTAAACATGAATTTTACAAATAAGGGTGAATAAATGAATGAGAGGAAATCCTAGGAAGGCAGCCAAGAGAGTGAAAGTACTGCTATCTAGGAAGAGGGCTTGAGGTAGAGTGGGTGGCCCTGAGCTGGCTAGGTTTGCTCCCAGTCCTGAAGTCTATTTGGCGTTTTTAGATATAGCATGGATTATTGGATAAAGATTAAAATAAAAGTAGGTCTCAGTGCTTTGCAGTGAACTGTGTACCTTTAAAATTGTTGTCTTAAAGCGTTGTCAAGTCAGGGTGCAATAGGTAAAGGCTCTAATTGTCCTTGGGTTTTCTACTTATTTCTCCTTTTGCTTTATGACCCCAGGAAATACAGATATACAGTCAGCCCACCATATCCACAGAAAAATAAAACATGAAAAACAATACAACAATTTTAAAATAATGCAGATTTAACACTGCAGCATAACAACTATTTACATGGCATTTACATTGTATTGGGTCTGATAAGGATTCTAGAGATTATTTGAAATACATGGGATGATATTCATAGGTTATATGCAAATACTACACCATTTTATATCATATACTTGAGCGTCTGTAGATTTTGGTATCTGAGGAGGTCCTGGAATCAATCTCTAAACTGAGAGACAACTAAGAATTTTTTATTTTGATGAGAAGGGAAACCAGAAAGTGAGGAAGCAGCTGGAAACAACTGTGAGAGTCTCCCGGCTATTTCTGTGTCTTTCTTGGGCAGCACGCATCCTGTCTTCCCTCTTTAGCAAGGCTTTGACTTTTTAGGACTTTGCCCTAGGTATGTATATCCCTAGGTATATACGTGTTTAGCACTGGGGCTGTGGGAGTATTGTTTTGTTTCCCTTTGCTGATGTTTTGTTTCGCTTTGTTTTTAGAACACAATTTAGGAGTGGAACTTTGAGAAGGTAGTTGAAAATCCTCCAATATTTTACTTTGAGTGGAAATTAGAATAACATAGTGTTTGGGCAAAAACTTCGGAAACTAGGATCCTTCGGTCCTCATTTAATCCCTAACATTTATATCTTGGCTTTGAGGACATCTCTTAATGCAGGAATTTTTTAAAATTGAAATATAGTTTACCATAAAATTCACCATTTCAAAGTGTACAATTCAGTTATTTTAGGGTATTTACAGAGTTGTACAGCCATCATCACTATCTAATTCCAAAATGTTTTCATCACCCCTGAAAGGAACCTCCCTTTAGCAATAACTCCCCCAGCTCCTGGCACCCATTGATATTCAGTAAAAGCAACTCTCAGGGTATTTTTGCCTCTATGGGTTACCTATTCTGTAAGTTTTCTATTAAATGGGATCAAACAACAACATGTGACCTGTGGTGTCTGGTGTTTCCTTGTTTTCAGAGTTTATCCATATGGTAGCATGTGTCGATGCTTCATTTCTTCTTATGGTTGAAGGGATTTGGGGGGTTGTTTGTTTTGTTTTGTTTTTTGTGGAACTGTCTCTGAGGGGACTGCATCCCTTACCTTGCTGCCTCCCACATTGAGTTTGCAGAAAAGAGTACATGCTGATGACATCAGGAGTTGAAGCTAAAATGCCAGAGCAGTGTCCCAAGACACTTTTAATATCTTATTTTGAAACCATTTCAAACTTGTAGAAAAACTGCAAAAATAGCACAAAAAGCTCCTGCTGCTCTTCATCCAAGACACCTGTCCACCTATTGCAGAAGGCCCAATCTAGGTTCAAATGTTTTACCCAGGCACATTAGTCTCTGCAGTCTGAAACATTCTTCCTTCTTACCTTGGTTCTCATGACTTGGCATTTTGGAAGATCACAGGGCAGTCATTTCGTAGAATGGGCTTGTCTATTGCTTTCCGGTGATCAGAAATTGGGCTAACCATCCCAGTGGAAAATTCCCAGAGTGGCAGTGTGTCCTGGTTCAGATGGCACATGGTGTCCATCTGCCCTGTCGCTGGTGGTATTAACTGCGATCACTTGGTCAAGACGGTGTTTACCAACTTTCTCTACTACAAGGTTACTTCTGGCTTGTAAGCGCAGCACTTTGGGAGGCCAAGACAGGATGGTTGCTTGAGGCCAAGAGTGTAAGACCAGCCTGGGCAACATAGCAAGACTGTGTCTCTACAAAATAAATGTTTTAAAATTAGCTGAGCATGATAGTACATGACTGTAGTTCTAGCTACTTGGGAGGCTGAGGCAGGAGGATCACCTGAGCCCAGGTTACAGTGAGCTATGATTATGTACTACACTCCAACCTGGGGAACAGAGTTAGACCTTGTCTCTTAAAAAAAAAAGAAGTATTTTGTGGAGAGCTACTTTGTGACTAAGCAAATATCGGGTACTTCTTCCCACTTACATTCTAGTTGGATCACTATGATGGTTGCCCAATGACACCTCTAAATTCCATTCTTCCTGCTACTGGAAGCAAGAATTTTCTCCTCACCATTTATTTGGTTTATGTCACTGAGGATTCATAAACTCAAATCTGATATTTGATCATCTGTTGCTGTCATTATTTATTTTGATTTCTAAATTGTCCCACATTTTGCCCAAGGGAGCCCCTTTAATCTGGATCCTTTGACCTTTTAACATGTCCTCTCACTTTTGGAGTAGTTTGCTTTCCAACAACAGTATGTTCCAGGCTTGATTTATACTTTACCTGTTTGACCATGGAATCAGCCATTTCTCCATGGAGCTCTGGCCATTTCAGTGGAGAGTGGTATTTAGAAACCCAAGATCTGTGCTCGCTTTGGCAGCACTTCTACTAAAATTGGAACAATACAGAGAAGATTAGCATGGCTCCTCCACAAGGATGATATGCAAATTCATGAAGTGTTCCATATTTTTACAGTGTATACAAAATAAAACAATTTGTATTTTAAAAAAAGAAGCCCAAGATCCAGGCACTAGGTTTGCCCATTATTTTTGGGGGTCTCATTGCTCCAAGGTCTTCTCAATAGATAAAGCTACACATGCGTGCATGCACCTGCTCACATATATATATGTATCTCTATATCTAGTCACTTGTTCCACTCCAGCACTCTATTCTAACTTTTTTCCTTGCCTTTAGTGAGAAACCTAACTCCACTTCCCATTCCCAGCCCTACCAGGCCACTATCACTGCCCCCTCCAACCATTGTCTTTGTAGGGGTGGACTTTAAAAAACATGTAATATTAACATTGATAAAAGATCATTTGTAATAAAATCTTATCAAAGAAGTCAAGTTATCTTTCTAAAATAGGTTAATATGTCTAGTATTGACATTTTAATCCAGAGTTATTCCAGATATAATGATAAAATATTCAGTGGGTTACTGTGCTATCTGTCAAGTACATAATTTAAGCATTCTCTATTTAATGAGAAAGGAAGTATGTGTTTAGCTTGCAAATGTGCCACAAAGTGTCTGTCTCTTGAATTTCAGGGCACCACCAAAATCAACACTTTCAACTGGTCCAAGGTCCGTAAATTAAGCTTCAAGAGGAAAAGGTTTCTTATCAAACTCCATCCAGAGGTTCATGTAGGTATTATTTTGAGCATTTCTTAAATTATGGCTAGAATATTGAAGGGTTTTATTAAACTACTTTGTAAATGATTTCAGCATACTGCACACAAGAACTCAGGACAAGATTCGGGATTGGGGTCTGGAAGGGCTAAGGGCAGTCTACTAGCTGATCTTACTGACCTTCCCCAGGAACCTTGTCACCCACACACAGCTGGGCTCCATCCCTGGGGTTTCAGATTTAATGGGTCCGAGGTAGGTCCAAGAAGGTGCAAGTCTAATAAGCTACCAGGAGCTGCTGAGAGTATTAGCTAGTATAACCTTTGTTCTCTAGCTAATGAAGCTGAAGAACAAAGTGTTTATCATAGTGTTCAGAGTGATCAGAATAAATTGAGGGGTGTTCCCAATATTCTCATGTGTCTTTGATCCAAAAATTGACGTGGTGGCTCATGCCTGTAATCCCAGCACTTTGGGAGGCAGAGGCAAGAGGATTGCCTGAGCCCAGAGGTTTGAGACCAGCTTGGGCAACTTGGCAAGACCTCGTCTCTACAATAAATCAAAAAATTAGCTGGGCATTGGGGCACACGCCTGTAGTTCCAGCTACTTAGAAGACTGAGGCGAAAGGACTGCCTTAGCCCAGCAGGTCAAGGCTGTGGTGGCTGTGAACGTGCCACTGCACTCCCACATGGGTGACAGAGTAAGAGACTCCAACTCAAAAAAAAAAAATTGACCTCTAAATAACTCTTAATTGAAGAAGACTTGGTTATCAGGAAATAAGTATTTATTTCTTTAGAGATTGCTAGTCAATAAAGTAATAATTACGTGTGAATTTACTGAAATAAGTAAAAACGGAAAAAGCAAATGCCTGTTTGGTCTGATATTTGGAAAAAAATTCAGTACTTCAAATTATTCAAAGTTGTTCAACTTGCTACGTTTCCACTGTACAATGGGAGTTAAGAAATAAAAAAGTAGATTAGCTAAGCCACTGTGGGGTTGAAGCTTAAGAGATGGCTGTGCCTGTGTTAGCTTAGATATACTTTGGGTCATGGGAGCTTTAGAGGCAATCAGAAGAAAGGCTTTACCTAAGCCTTTAAAAGACATTTGATTAGCAAGACTTTGCCATATACCAGGTTCATGTGCTATATGTAAGTGTTGCTACTTTTGGTAGAAGGACTGAAAAGGTGGCCTAATTGTTTATTATTCAGATATCTCTTTTTTGGATGAAAGGAAAGTAGAAATGTGAACACACATACAAAATGCAAGTACAGGTCTGCTTTAGTGTGTGAGTAAAATTATTTCTTGCAGTTATTCTGAGAAGGTAAGCAAAGAAGAGAATTACTGCTCAAGTCACTGAAGCAACTATTAATTGGAATAGGATGATAAGTAAAAACTCAGAACTGTATTTGGATCTGCACCTAGCAAAATTACATTTTATGTTCCCTAAGCACTTAGATTTTTAAGACTAAATATAGAAGTCTAAGTATTACAGTCTTTATGGAAAGTAATTTGGTTATATATATCAGAAGGTTCAAAAATGTACATTATCTTTGAGCTCAGAGTTCCATTTCTAGGAATTTATCCTAAGGAATAATTATGAGAGACAATGCAGTGGTTTCTTCTTGGTGATATTTATGATCCTGAAAACTGTATGTCCTAAAGAGCGAAACATCTTAGTTTTTTTTTAATGGAGAAAAAATTCAGTAATAACATATAAATATGTCAACTGGAAGCCCAACACAATGGCTCACACCTGTAAGCCCAGCACCTTAAGAGACTGGGACAGGAGGATCACTTGAGGCCAGGAGTTCAAGACCATCCTGGGCAACATAATGAGACCCTATCTCTAAAAAAAAAAAAAAATTGTTTTTGTTTATTGGTCAGGCCATGGCGGCATGTGCCTGTAGTTTCAGCTACTCAGGAGGCTGAGGCAGGAGGATTGCTTGAGCCTTGGAGTTCAAGGCTGCAGTGAGCTAGGATCGCACCACTGCACTCCAGTCTGGGTGACAGCGAGACCCTGTCTCTTAAAAAAAATAATAATAATAACTGTCGTGAAAATATGCCAGTTTGCTAGGTGGGAAAAGTGTTTACAAAGATATACTTCAGAATATCTTTGAAGTATATATCTTGAAAGTTGTGTGATTGTGAATGACTTCATTTTTCTGCTGCTTCTACAATGAATATGTATGTATGTATGTATATATATACTGTGTTTCTCTTCTTTGAATTATATAAATACAGCCAGCAGTCTTTTTGTACAGTTTTTTAAAAAATGCTTTCTAATTTTTAATTTTGTAATCGCCTGGTTGGTAGTTGCTTGTCTAATACTTTATTATTGAATTAATTACTTGAAACTTTGATTTTGTTTCTAGGGACCTTACCAGGACACATTAGAATTTTTGCTGGGTAGTAGAGATGAATGTAAGAACTTTTGGAAGATTTGTGTGGAGTATCATACCTTTTTTAGACTTTTCGATCAACCTAAACCAAAAGCAAAAGCTGTCTTCTTCAGCCGGGGCTCCTCCTTCAGATACAGGTAGGGGCCATGCTGCAGGCCATGTGGTCTTCTCACTAGTTTATAAAGCTGAGAAAATAATACTCACTAGTCAGGAAAGAAACATGTAAAGTGTGTCAGAGAATTACATTCAAAGTGTAGCTACTGTAAAAGATAATTACTGGATAAAGTATATGAAATAATAACGCTGAAAAAGTTTGTCTTAATAAACACTTTGTTTTCTATTTCTTGGGAGCTTGGGGGAAAAAGGAAAAAACTTTGCTTAGAAAATCAGTGTATAACTGATATTACAAAGTATAACTTTAAAATACGTATGTGTGGGTTGGGTGTGGTGGTTCACACCTATAATCCCAGCCCTTTGGGAGGCCAAGGTGAGAGAATTGCCTGAACTCAGGTTTGAGACAAGCCCGGGCAACTTGGTGAGACCTCATCTCTACAGTAAGTGAAAAATTCAGCCAGGCATGGTGGCACGCACCTGTAGTTCAGCTGCTTGGAAGACTGAGGCAGAAGGATCACCTAAGCCCAGCAGGTCGAGGCTGTGGTGGCCGTGAGCGTGGCCCTGCACTCCAGCCTGGGTGACAGAGTGTGACTCCAACTCAAAATGAATAAATAAATATATAAATAAATACATAAATTAAAATACATATGTGCGTATTTATATGAACAGATGGGCAAACCTTACTTTCCCTTTGTTTTTTACTGTAAAAAATTAATGTTGTGACTTACTTTAATTCTTTTTCAAAATTCAAACCTTTATTTACAGTGGAAGAACTCAGAAACAACTAGTCGATTATTTCAAAGATGGTGGAATGAAGAGAATTCCATATGAAAGGTAAACTCTGTGCTTTATGATGTATATACTTTTAAAATTAAATATGTTTAACTGTTACTTGAATAAAAGTCATGTAAAACACATAAACATGTATTTTGACACTTAAGTTCAGTATCAGTTTAATAAAGAAAATGGATTTCTATTATCTTTATACAGACATAGTATACACCTACATATTACTTTTTAGTTTTCTGGTCTGTATAGCTTAGCTTTTATATAATGTTTTTACATAGTATGGTAGACTTTTAATCTGAAAATCCATGTTTCTTTGCATGTGAAATTTTTCCCTTAGTGTAGGTATATAATTTTACCTCTTTCAGGTTATCTGTTTTTTATTTGAATTCTTGTCTTCTGTTACCCTGCTCTTTCTAGTTAGATGCTTCTGTTTGAGCTACATTTTTATGTGAGGTTTTCTTCACATATGGTACACACTAGTTGCTTTAAGAACAGATTTTTCGTGACTCGCCTGGGCAACTTGGCGAGACCTCATCTCTACAATAAATCAAAAAATCAGCCAGGCGTGGTAGCGCGTGCCTGTAGTTCCAGCTACTTGGAAGGCTGAGGCGGAAGGATCGCCGGAGCCCAGCAGGTTGAGGCTGCGGTGACCGGGAACGGCCACTGCACTCCAGTCTGGGCGACTGAGTGAGACTCCAACTCAAAACAAAAACAAAAACAAAAAAAACAGATATTCAGAAGGAGGGGGTTGGTTGCTCACACCTTGTTCTGTTTTGCAGAAGGCACAGCAAGACTCAGATGTCCATTCGTACTCTGACTACAGACCTGCCAAAACAGGTTAGTCTTTTCTGGTTAAAAATGTAGGCAATATTAATCACCTGTACTCTTTTGGAAAATAATCTGGCAGTGTTGTAACAAAAGTCTTAAAATTAGTCATATCATTTAGTGGAGCAATTCCAGTTCTGAGACTCCATTTTCAGAAAATAGTCCTAAATAAAAAGTTTTATGTATTGAGCTGTGTATCATTGTATTACTTGTAATACACTACAAAATCTTAAACAACCATCATCTGTGTGGGATGACTTCCTAGCTACTTGTTTTTTTGTGTTTTTTTTAACTGAATTCACTTATTAGGATTTTTTTTTTTTCTTTTTTTTTTGGAGTTGGGATCTCACTGTCACCAGGCTGGAGTGCAGGGGCATAACCACATCTTACTGCAGCCTTAGCCTCCTGGGCTCAGGTGATCCTTCCATCTTAGCCTTCTGAGTAGCTGGGACTACAGGTGTGTGCCACCACATGCAGCTATTTGGGTTTTTTGGTTTTTTTTAAGACAGGATCTTGCTATGTTGCCTAGGCTGGTCTCAAACTCCTGGGCTCAAGCAATCCTCAGTTAGTGAGAATTTTTGTAACCATTACAAGAATTGCTTATAAACAGTATATAATAACATGGGGAAATTCTTTCTTTCACTGTCATGTTAAGAGTGAAAAGCAGCCAGGCTCGGTGGCTCAGCCTGTAATCCCGCGCCTTGGGAGGCTGAGGTGAGTGGATTGTCTGAGCCCGCGGGTTCGAGACCCACCTGGGCAACTTGGTGAGACCTCATCTCTACAATAAATCAAAAATCAGCCAGGCATGGTAGCACGCACCTGTAATTTCGGCTACTCGGAAGGCTGAGGCAGAAGGATCGCTGGAGCCCAGCAGGTCAAGGCTGCGGTGGCCAGGAGCGGCCACTGCACTCCAGTCTGGGCGACAAAGTAAGACTCCAACTCAAAAAAAAAAAAGCAACCTGGGTAACATAGCAAAACCCTGTTTCTACAAAAAAAAAAATCAAAGTAATTAGCTGGATGTGGTTGTACACACCTATAGTCCCAGTTACTTGGAAGGCTGAGTTGGGAGGATTGCCTTAGCTTAGGAGGTTGAGGCTGTGGTGAACTGTGGTCATGCCACTACACTCCCGCATGGGTGACAGAGCAAATCCCTAACTCAAAAAAAAAGAAGTCAAAGTATTAATCATCTAAAAATTACTTTTAAGCTTTCATTTATCTTCTATTGCATTTTATTTTATTTTTTTGTTCATGTATTTATTTACTTATTTATTTTGGGTTCAGGGTCTCACTCTGTCACCCAGGATGGAATGCAGAGGTACAATCACTGCTCACTGTAGCCCTGACCTCCTGGGCTCAGGTTATTCTCCTGCCTCAGCCTACCAAGTAGCTAGGACTGTAGGCACGCATCACCATACTCTATTAATTTTTTTATTTGTTTGTAGAGTTGAGGCCTCACTATGTTGCCCAGGCTGTTCTTGAACTCCTGGGCTCGGGCGATCCTTCCTCCTCAGCCTTCCAAAGTGCTGGGATTACAGGCATCAGATAACATGCCTGACCTTTTATTGCATTTGAAAAGCCACGAGAGAATATTGAATATGACTGAATGACTGAAGAAAAGTGATATGATAAACATTTGAAAACAGATTAATCTTACAGAATATGACCCACTATTTTGTTTCTAAAAGCTCCGTTGCTGGGCTTTCTACCATTGCATTTGCTTGTATTGCATATTGTGATACACACATACATATGTATATTGCCTTTGTATACTTTGCACAGAAAGTTATTCAGTTGTGTGTGGTTGTATTTTGGTGTGACCACCGTTTTAATGACATTGCATGTGTATGTACAGTAAGAGATTCCCTCTAGGCATGACTGCATCTCAGTGTAGCATGCATGAGGAGTGACAGTGCATAGAGAGGTCTCAGCTGTGTCCTCATGTGTGGAACCATGAGGGAAGACATGTTAGAGCACCTATGGTGTAGCAAGTGATGCAGTGTGGCTACTTGACATCCTGCCATGGCCCCTCTAGCCTTTCTTCATCCTGCTCAATAGTCTCCTCTCACTCACACTTAGGGTCATTCCAGTCCCTTTGAAAGACCCATGTCTCCTGCCACTGACACTGGCGAGGCACATAATCGGCGGTAACCCTTGACCTTTTGTTGCATGAGTGAGTGGACTGATACATGTTCCCACTCCCTAGTGATAATAAATCTCTGATAGATGAGTACCTGTTATTATAGAACTTGTTACTCAGGAATCGGCACAGGGGTTTAGGGTGCTGTTGGCTGTGTGGAATGGCTTATTTCCTCTCTAACTGTATTGTGTTCCTCAGCAAAATCGTGAATGCCACAAACACTTGTAACTTCAGGATGGTAGGGGTGCCCCAGAGACATGGACCACATGTCACTTGGTTCTACATCATGGAGGTTTTCTTTATTATAGACATTTCATGCCAAGCTGTCTACATTTACAAATCTTCATTTCTAAAAGGAAAAGTCTAATCAATTGCCCTTTTTTGTAAAAGCTGTAAATAGAAATGTGTGGCTATCCTAAGTTGGGCCAGTTGACTGTGCAACTTCCAATGGTAATTTGTAATTTTATGTGTTCCTTTTTTCTTTTCTTAATTTTGATCTCCAGAGCATCTCATTCACTGAGGGCCTGAGGACTTCTACCTCCCCATCTTCAGCAAATGCCTCCTTTTATCCGCTCCCTGCCTCCCCTCTGACACCCCCTGGCCTGCCCGATTTCAAGAACAGCAGCAGCTCCCTTACAGATACCCAGGTTTCCTACATCAAGAGTCCACCTGCAGAGAGGAGCAGCGGAATCATGGCCGGAGGCCCTGACACACCATCAGCACAGCCCCTTGGGCCCCCCGCACTCCAGCCTGGTCCAGGTGTCGGGTTTTGTCATGTTGTGAGCAGCTATGGTTCTGTCTGTCCCGGGGAGCAGAGTCTTGGTGCCTTAGACCTAGATGCGGGGAGGGCCAACAGGGAGCACAGAGCTACTTGTAAAAATGACAATGGTGGGGATGACTTTACCACAGGCTCCTTCCCTTCCAATGGGGAGTACCGGTGTGACTGGCAGTGCCATGGTGGAATCCCTGTTTTCACATTGACAAATGCCCAGCTGCAGGTGTCTGAAGAGTTCATAGATGATGATCCAGCAGATATCTCTTTCTTTGCTGGAAGTTCTGAGGCATTCTCTTTCCCATACAGCTCTGTAGTCTCACAGGAACCTGGGGTGCCTGCCCAGCCCACAGCATCCCTTCCTGTGTGTGGACACCCAGAGTCTGCCCAGTCCAGCCCAGACAGGTACTCCACTGAGGCAGTAGACATGAATGTAGAAGATGATTTTGAATTTGAGGAGGAAAGTGACTTCAATGGCAATGTGCACCCCTCAGACACCTCAGAGCTCTTTGAGGTGAAGGCACAAGCCAGCCTGATGCAGAGCCTGTTGAGTCCTTCTGAGACTAGCTCACTCAGGAACAACCAGTCTGAAAACAGCTCCCTCAATAACATGCCGCTGCATGGTGGGCTGTCTTTGCACACATCCAGTTCAGCCAATCAGTCTGAAGCCAGCTCGATGGTCAACTTCCCAGCCTACTCAGTCCGCTCTGAGTCCAGCTCAGCCTTCCAGTTCTCTGACATCATCGACCAGTTAGAGCAGCTCAGCTACCCACCCACGACAACCGAGGACTCCAGCAGCACAGACTCAGATTCATGGGACTCTGAGGCTGAGGCCCCCCTAGACGTGAGTCTTTTCTTCAGTAACCCTTTTGCACAGACAAGTGGAGAGAGAGTCCCTTTTGATTTGCAGAACAACTTAAAGAATTTGACTCCAGGAGAGTGGACAGATAAAAACCCATCTTGACCACTCTGGGTTCCTTTACAGGGCAACCCACTCACCCATGCTGTGTAGTTTAGAGTTCAGAATTGTTTGGTTTAGACATAGAAAATGATTTTGAATTCATGGCTAGATAATCAATTTTTTAAAATTATCTGATTTATTATACTTTTCTAAATGTCAAAGAATTAGACCTTTCGCTTGGAATTATGTTAAAGGTATGCATTCAGTTTAACTTAGATGAGTATTCCAGTCAGTCCTTGTGTGGTGGAGTGGGACTGATAAATTGGCCTTTGTAGCTTATTTTTTTGGCATGTGCTTTGATTCAAGTAAAAATTGGTGCTATACATTCTGAATGTTGCAAAGTTCTGATTCATGTTGATCTTTAATAGAATATGTGTATTATGCCTATTAATGCTGCTTTTAAAGATGAGCCATGCTATTCATAATTAATTAGGATGGAAGTTTGATCTGATTTGTCCAGGCACTGCATTGCACAAAATTTCAAGTGTGCCTCTACAGAATCCTAACCCGAAGGGGAACCCTCAGCCTCCTACATGCTGTGGTCCTCAGCTTGCACAGGGGTTGGGGGACAATGTCCCTGGCACTGTCCCAGTGCTGAAGGCATCATCTCATTATTGGCTTGAGACCAGAGATGGTGCTGTGTTTTGATAGTGGTCTTGGAGAGGCATTGGTTTAAAATGCACTTAAGTTTGAACTGTTTTCTTATGTTCAGCTTAATTGGGGTTATAAAAGATATATAGTTGCAGAAACAGCAGAACCAGACATACAGTGGGTCTGAGAGTCACAGCTTAAGCTAGTCCAGGAGAGTTGTCTTCTTTTGACTGACAGAGTGAGTTGTTAATTAAAAATAATGAGCATACTGGGAACCCCCAGAATATACAAGAGGCTCAAACTTTCGCTCTTTCTTCAGTAATGATGTTTCTTTTATGCCAGGTGGTCTGTGATACCCAATCACTAACTGCTTATAACACATGCCATCATGGGCATCATTCTGTTCCAAGGCAGTGGGAGGGGTCCTCTGAGCAGATGGGCCAAATCGGCCCTGTCCATCTGTCTGATGCTCCCTAATGCACACAGATGCCTTGGACCTTGCTGGGCGCCATGTGGAGGGATCCCCAGTCTAAACCACTATGAAAATAGGGACCCATGCTCATGGCACAGATTGAATGAGTCCATCTAGGGACATCAGGGGAGAAACCACCATGCAACCTACCACCCCAAGAGTGCCAGGCTCAGGCCAGCCCTAGATGACATTGTTGAATTTGCCAAGTCCACAGGTTGGGGTTTGAGTTTTTATTGTTGTTTATCCTTATCCTATCTAGTAGTACAATACCATACTTAAAGTTTAATTTTCTTCCCAAAATATCCTGTGGAAACTTTAAACTTTCATTCCTGTTCATGTTGTAAAATCTCTAATTCTTTGCCTGTATAAATTTTACTGTGATTGCACAAATGCCATGTAGCTCAAGTGTCTCTGAGGCTTCAAGTCATCTTGTGAGTGTTGGTCTTTCTCATATTATTAGTATTAGTTGGATACCAGCAGGGGATGGGGTTTTTGGCCAAAGATATTGGACAATTTCCCATTTTTGTAGCTTTGTTAAGCCTAACTTGCAGTTTCATCATTTTTCTGGCCTGTGTAGCTAGTACTTTCAGTGTATATAATTATTATGTATTCTGCCCCTTTATTGTTAATACCTATCTTCTGAATACTTCTGAGGCCATTGGACACAGCTTTCCCTGTTGGCTGACCAATATCTGTGAAAAGGTGTTGGGGGTGTGACACAAGAGCGAGCACTAAACCTGATGAGGTCAGGAGCACTGGTCAGAATGGGACTGATCAGACACTCTGCTTTTCTTACTGTCGCTTCCAGAAGTAAACCTTGGATTTGTGTGGTGGGAGGAGCTTAATAGACTTTTATATCTGGAGTATTTTTCCTAGATCTTGGTACTCATATGGTAGCTGATGGCTGCCTCTCCCCTTCATTACTGTTGCCTAATGAATGTACTTGCTGTGAACTGACAAAGTTGATCCTTTTTTTTTTTTAAGGGAACGTACTCTAGTGTCTGAGCAGTAGGTTAGGATTGGGTGACTTTCAGCTAGCACAACTGTTGGCTGGGGTGTCTACTCCCAGGGAAAGCTAGTACTATGGAAGGTGGAGTGTTCCCTTCCAAGGGCATGGGACCATGACCCCCAGCAGAGGTTGCTCATCACTCTCTAGTTTTGGAGATTCTGAATAAATTCTGTTCTCAGCCACCATCTGTTAGATCGCCTATAAAATGAATTTTGTTGCCGGGCTCAGTGGCTCAGTCTGTAATCCCGCGCCTTGGGAGACTGAGGTGAGCGGATTGCCTGAGCCCACGGGTTCGAGATCCGCCTGGGCAACTTGGCGAGACCTCATCTCTACAATAAATCAAAAATTAGCCGGGCGTGGTAGCGTGTGCCTGTAATTCCAGCTACTTGGAAGGCTGAGGCGGAAGGATCGCCGGAGCCCAGCAGGTTGAGGCTGCGGTGGCCGGGAGCAGCCACTGCACTCCAGTCTGGGCGACAGAGTGAGACTCCAACTCAAAAAAAAAAAGAATTTTGTTGTTTTTGTTAATGGACACTCACTTTCTGGAGATAATTCTTTGGTCTTTTATTTGGCAAGTTTTCAAAACATACAAAAGCAGAAAGAGGAGTATAATGAACCCCTGTCATGCCAGATGCAGTTTTGCTGACACTTACTCATGCTTGCCCCATCTGTTCCTTTCTTCTTTCCTTCTGTATCTTGTTGCTGTAGTGTTTTAAAGAAGCCCCCAGCCATGCTAATGACTTTCCTCAGAATTTCTGCACATACCTCTGAAACATAAGGACACTTTATTACATAGCCCCACACTTATATTGCCATACAAAATTAATAATTTCTTGGTAACATTTAATACTGAGAACATATTTAAATTCCCTAGTTGTCTAAGATGTCTGTTAACATTTGGTTTGTCCGAATCAAGATCCAAACACAATTGGCTCACTGTATCTGACTGTTATATTTCATTTAGAAGAGCAGCTTCTCCCCAACCCCATGCCACTGACTTGAAGAAGCCGTATCTCACAAGGCTGGACCTAGCTACTCCGGCCTCTGCTCCCCTGGAGGCTGGACCTGCCACTATGCTGACCAGGACAGAGCCACAGGCTATATAAGGCACTGTGGATCTGTCACCACTAAGTGCTCAGTTCTGCCCCCGCCACAGATTCCACAGACCCATGGGGTCAGCAGCTCCTCAGGTCCGGTGAGGACAGCCCAGATGCTCTATGGATAGTGCTGGAGAAGGGGTACTTTCAGGTTCAGGTTTAACTTTTTGGCACAATCTGGAGAAGTTTGAACAGCTGTCCTCTTCCAGAGTGTTCATAATACTTTTAAGTGTTACAGTTTTTCCTTTATAATAAAACATTTAAAAATCAAATGGGCTTTCTTCTAAGTTACTGCTCATGGCTCTCCTGCTCCTTTCTCTTTTGAGTGGGTTAAAAGCCCACCAGAGGAAGTTTAGAAATCAGAGGGAAAGTGAGAGGTGTAGTAGGCACAATGACTTTAGGACCTGAAGGAAGACATTTTTTATTACAAATTTTATCTTTCCACTTGTAACAGTTAGTTAAACAGTAACGTTCCTTTTCACTCTAACAAAATGGTTTATAGTGGTTAAATATTAAAATCAAAACATTCAGGATAGTTCGGCCTAAAGCCAAGGAGCCCTGAGTCAGCACTAGGCCATGCTTTTGTTTGAACGGGGTGCTATGTGCTTTTCCCCAAGCCTGTACTGAGTAAGGCACAGCCTGGGAGGCGTGGCCTGATACATCCAGGCTTGACCCAGCACTTCTCTTGTCTGGAGACAGCATGCTGAAAGGGTATAGGTAAAACTGCCTGCAAAATGTTGACAATTCTCTTTTAATCTACTGATCTCCTTAGTTAATCCAGAGCCTTAAAGTTGCACAGGTGTCAGACTCCACCTGCGGTCTCAGGCATGCCAGGGGCTGCACTGGTGGCTCCCAGGAAA